TAAACCAGCATCCCAGAATCAAAACATACCTAACCAGCATATGCTGTTTTTTTCAACAGGGCAGTCAAGAGCTTTGCTGTTGACTGATTCAAGTAAATCATTTGAAATTAAATTTATTGACCAAAACAATCACATGATGAAAACTGATTGATGTGAAGATCACCAAAAGCTCAAACTGTTTGCTGAATGCCATATGTCCAAAAAGCACCATGTTTAGCCCACACCCTACGATTATGCCTGTTTGGATTGTATCATGTCATAATTAGATGGTGTCTTGATAGCATACAGCATTGGTCTGGTCTTACCTGGTGTGACCTCAACCGTAAGTGAAGCAGTGCTTGATTCTTCATTGGTTGTGTCAACCACCCTCATCTGAGTCACATTGGATAATATGGTCATAAATATTTCAAATCACACAGTCTGTGATAGACAGCCAAATGTCTAAACAGCACGAAACATTGTACGAAATATTAAGTTCTTACTTCTAAATTTACAGTGCCCGGGGCAACGGCCTTCGCCATGAGTATGAAGCCCTCTGGAGTGATTGAGAAGTCAGTGCCGGCTACAACCTCAAATCTGAGGTTAGGATTATAGCCCTACAAAGAAAGAAATCCAGCACTTAACACCAGAAATATTACAGTAATAGGAATCATTCATAAAACATGAGCAGCAAACACAAAAATTGTTATTTAAATTGTAACATTGAATTGAATGCAATGATTTAGTTAGTGGTTTTATGATTTATTTAATTCAATGTGACCATTTACATAATGGCTTTATGATCAATTCAGTCAAAGAATTTACAACACTTAAAATTTGTTATAAATACTGAATTGTTTGAAAAATGGTTATACGAACATTAAAGGGGTCATATGATGTGATTTCAAGTTTTCCTTTCTCTTTGGAGTGTTACAAGCTCTTGGTGCATAAAGAAGATCTGTAAAGTTGCAAAGACTAAAGTCTCAAATCCAAAGAGATATTCTTTATAAAAGTTAAGAGTCAACAACACCTACCTAAAACGGCTCGTTCTAACACGACCCCACATATCTACGTCACGATGTGAGAAGAATTGCATAACGCCGGCCAAATGTTCACGCAAAGAAAAGTGTAACTTTTATTCTCGCTGTAGTATTGTTGCCACCGGCGCCATGTCGTGAAGACGCTGTGTGCTTCGTTGTGAAAGCGAAACTACTTTGTTTGGTCTTCCAAAAGAGGACGATATCCGCTGCGTCATGCCTGGAGCTGATCTGTGCTGGTCGCTACCAATACATCAACTTAGTGCTGTGGATCGTCGGATCAGCTTTCACCGTGGACGAAGTGGAGTCCAGCCTGGGGTCGTCACATGCGGTTGCCGCTCCTTCGTCGATTCCGCCTTCACGCTAAGCCGCGACTTCCGCTCACGCTAGGGCACCGTGTGTTTCGTTGTGAAAGCAAAACTACTTTGTTTAAATCACACAGTCTGTGATAGACAGCCAAATGTCTAAACAGCACGAAACATTGTACGAAATATTAAGTTCTTACTTCTAAATTTACAGTGCCCGGGGCAACGGCCTTCGCCATGAGTATGAAGCCCTCTGGAGTGATTGAGAAGTCAGTGCCGGCTACAACCTCAAATCTGAGGTTAGGATTATAGCCCTACAAAGAAAGAAATCCAGCACTTAACACCAGAAATATTACAGTAATAGGAATCATTCATAAAACATGAGCAGCAAACACAAAAATTGTTATTTAAATTGTAACATTGAATTGAATGCAATGATTTAGTTAGTGGTTTTATGATTTATTTAATTCAATGTGACCATTTACATAATGGCTTTATGATCAATTCAGTCAAAGAATTTACAACACTTAAAATTTGTTATAAATACTGAATTGTTTGAAAAATGGTTATACGAACATTAAAGGGGTCATATGATGTGATTTCAAGTTTTCCTTTCTCTTTGGAGTGTTACAAGCTCTTGGTGCATAAAGAAGATCTGTAAAGTTGCAAAGACTAAAGTCTCAAATCCAAAGAGATATTCTTTATAAAAGTTAAGAGTCAACAACACCTACCTAAAACGGCTCGTTCTAACACGACCCCACATATCTACGTCACGATGTGAGAAGAATTGCATAACGCCGGCCAAATGTTCACTTCATTTTATGGAGGACTGTTTCCTGATCCTGGGACAGTACAATGCCGGCTGTTCTGACTCACAGTCTGTAAGTACGTTTTCATTTAAAGGATTTGCCACTGACGATTCAAACGCAAGTTTTGGGCAGTGTAGAGTAGCGTTTGTAGTTTGTAATTTCTCCGATCACAAATGCAGACATGGTTTTATGTTTACGCGGCGCGATGCAACGCAATGCGTAAAAAGACAGTATAAGTCATTATAATCCGTAATTATGTCCCCACTGGATGCAACAAATGCCTCGTTTGTAATGGGTTTTATTGTTTTCGTCTCGTCGCTCCGGGCCCAGCATCACAGTATGGTGAGGGGCGTAACATTTCCGTCACACGCTTGAGGTATTCGGGCCAATCACAACGCACTGGATAGCTGGCCAATCACAGCACACTTCGCTTTTCAGACCGATGAGCTTTGTAAAAATTAAAAAAAATTTAAAAAGGCGAGGAATAGAGGAGAAACAATAATGTACAGTATGTGGAAAAGAATGTGTTTTTTGAATTTTAAACCGCATAAACACATTTCATTACACCAAATACACACAATAATGTTCTTTTTAGCAGCATCATATGACCCCTTTAAATTTAATGCAACAGTTACTCAAAACTGTTTTTAAGAAGATTCAATCAAATGCTTAATTTGTAAGAAATAATTCAGTTTATGTTTATGTAAGAGTTTTAGTAAGTTTTACATTTATATACGTTTTATGAACATTGAATTCAGTGCAACAAATTTACCCTCGAATGTTTTTAGGAATGATTCAATGAAATGTGAGAGTTTCGCAAATAATTCAATTCAGTGCAACAATTTATGTAAGAATTGTTTTACAAAATATTCAATCCAAGAATTTAGGTCAAATTTATTGTACACTGAATTGAACGTGATGATTTCTATAAGAATGGTTTTACAAACAAATCAATTCAATGCAACAGTTTATGCAAGAATGAATTGAAATGTCCATAAAACCAATGCAAAAGTTTATATAAAAATGAATTCCGAATTGATTTACATTCATTTTCACGAATCTTTCTCTATGTGTTTTCTATGTTCTTTACGGATTAATTACGGATCTTGAACTGAACACATGCACAGACCAGAATGCTGTTTGTCACCGAGTTCTTACATCAGAAAAGTCTTGATCTGTAGCCTGTACTCTGAGGGGTCTGTTGGACGTTTTGCTCTCCAGCACCAAGCTGTCCAAACCCGCATCCTCTGAGATAAAGCCTTCATAACTGGGCTTCACAAATGTCGGAGGGAACGCGCTGGATATCACCACCTTCAGGATGACTGTAGTGGTGGCAAACTGATCGGCGTTCTCTTTCTGGTATGCCTAAAAAGACAGAGGGACAAATCTGGTTCAGGAAGGAACTACACTCTACAAAATAATGGATCCAGAATATTACATAGAAGAACCATTTTTGGTTCCCCAAAGAACCTTTCAGTGAACAGTTCCTAAAAGAACTAATTTTTCTTAGAGTGAAGAACATTTTAATAATCAAAATAAACTTTTATGGAATGGAAAGGTTTCATGGATGTTAAAAGTTCTTCAAGGAACCATCAATGCCAATAAAGAACCTTTATTTTTAAGAGTTTACAGAATACTGTGGCTCCAAAATGAAGCTTTTGATTGCACGTAACATTCAAAAACAATGGTTTCCTTTTTATAAATGCAATTTTTTTCTCTCTTACCATGACTGAAAGGACAATCGGTCCTGCCACCCCTGCTGGTTTCAGCATTGTGATGCTCCCGGTGTCAGTGTCGATTTGAAATACACTATCCTCATTTCCTGAACATGTAAAATGTACCAAATAAAACCAGTCGACTCTTTCCAAAGTTCTTCATTTCAACCCATGAGGACGATAAAATATCTCACCTCCAAGAAATGCATAACCAATGGGCTCGTTCCTGCCTAGGTCACCATCAATGGCCATGACTGGACCTGGCTTCAAGGACAAAGGACCTGGCTGTGGTGTACAACAACATTCAAATGCTCATTTGACATTGTAACTCAAGATCAGCAAATTCATCCAATAAGACGTTTCCTGATGTTTCTACATTCATTAGCCAGCTTTATAATGTGTGAAATGTTGGTGTTTGTTGTGGCGGTTTGAAATAATCATAACTATATAACGTTTAAACTGGTTTAACTCAACGTCAGACCTCTATCTACAAGTGCTTTGGATAGAAAACCCACCGCTTGTTCATTTAAGTTGACAGTCCCTTCATAACCAGAGCTAATGCACACTTTGCTTGTGCCAAACTCGGTTTCTGTACAAGGCTGGAACCATGGTGGACGATTGTCAATGTCTATGATGTTGACTACAATAGTGGTTGAGGCACTGTGGGAGACTTCAGCTGTAGATCCAATCGGTGTGTCCTGAAAAGTCATCAAATGACAGTTGTTTATACAAAAAGAAGCATCTTTGGAAATTTTACATGGATCAAGTAAACTCACCTGCACATATAGTGTCATCGTGACTTTTTTAATTTTGTCATAATCCAGAAGTTTTTTCACCAGAATGCTGGGATTGAAACTGGCCTCCAGGTCAAATTCTCCCTGCGAGAGAACAAAGGCCTTGTTTGAGAGAGATTTCAACGTTGTGAATGGGATTCCTTTAGGAATTCCTATAATAATTTGGAACCAACAATCAAGGGGGAATTTTCTTGTAGAATTCCAAAAGGGAGATACTTCAAGAACATAGTTCCCAACAGAACAGTTGTGATTGCCATGAAATACAATGTAGACAAACTCTGTGCACATTCTTTGGGATTTTTGTCGTCTCAGAAAGTGTAATGGGGACACAGCTGTACCTCGGGAGAATCCAGTTGGTAGTAAAGTCTATCAGTTTTATCAGGATCGGTTGCTGTGATTAGGCCAACACTGGTATCCACTTTTGATAACTAGAAAAATCAGTAAAAGTTTTAAGATTTTGAAAATGGCCATGACAAAACAAGCAAACAAAAATAAAAGAAATAAATTGTACAGCATAGGCAACATTAAAAGTTCATCAGCAAAGTACCTCATCAACATTTAGGGTGTACTGACTCTCTGCAAACGCTGGTGGATTATCATTTCTATCCTCGACGACTATTTTCAAAATCAATGTGGTCTAAAATTACAAATATGACATGCAGGACATCAATAACCAACATAAAAACATACAGAAAATAATTTAGGTTAAGTAAAACATTTACAATGCAAGATTTTTTTTTTTAGGTTCATTTAAATAGTTTACTCACAGAGAGAGAGCCAGCTTTTGTACACTCAATATTCACCTCATGAGGTTTGTTCTGGTCAAATGTCTAAGAAAATCACAAACATAAAAGGTCTGTTATTTTGTACATAAAGCATTTTAAATGGATCTAAATGATTGCTTTGAAATATTAAAATGCTCTCATTTTAACCTCAGCCAAAAAATTCTTCCTTAAAATTACACATTTACAGCTTTGGACACAGGTAGGGGTGTAAAAGTAATTAAAAATAATTAAGCTATAAAATAATCAAATGAAAATGTGTATATACAAGTTTAAACTTACTAAATTTTAAGTGGTAATTGAGAAAACAACCAAAACCAGTTTAGATCAAGACTAAGTTATGCTGAGTGAAGAGACATCTCTTTACATAAAATGAAGCACTTCATTTAATTGAAAAATATTTTACTGGCTGTTTTAAATAAAGGTATGAAAAAAGGATTTGACATATTAAAATAATATGTACTTTGTACACCCCAGCCATTGAAAATGATAAATTTAGAGTTTATTGGCTGAACACAAAACCAGACTCTTCATAAGATATACAGAATTAACCTCGTAGTCCAGCACAGTATCAGCAATGAGATTGTATCCCTCGAGGCTGAAGAGACCCTCTGGATTTTGACTAGTGATTGTGGCCGTCACCTCATCCTCAGCGATGAGTGTTGTAACGGTGGCACCAATTTCGTTGTTTTCCGGAATAAAAATGACTGGTAAATTGTCTGGCGCTGAGCAAAGATCTGTGTCGTTCAGAGAAAATCAGAATTGAAATGTTTTCATGAATGGTCCAGGTTGACACTGACAAATGTAAATGTTAGAAAATATACATTTTGTGATCTTCAAGATAAAACCAAAAAACAACTGCTAAGGAAACCAAACAGGTCATCCAAGGTAGGATTTCTTCAAACAAGTAAGCTTTTTTTTTGTTTTTTTTTAGCTTAAATTCAAACATTTCAAAGTCATCTTAAATTAGTAGGAACATAAAAATATGATTAAGCACAAATTTCTGTGTTTTTGTACTTCCAATTGATGTAAAATAAGAGTTTTGTGTAAAGTTGAAATATTGCTTGAAATAAGACATTTGTTTGAGAATTTAAATCTATCAATAGTAAAACATAAGCACATCTTTACTGTAAAAAATTGTGATGGTAAAAAAGGTGATTAAACCTAAACATTGATCACTCAGTATGATCTTATTTTATGATAAAGTTGATTAATTTCCTGAATCAGCCATGTCTTGTTCTTGAAACCATTGCCTTGATGTTTATGTAACCATAACTATAACACTAGGAAATCTACAGAACTTTAAATAATAATACTTTAAAGAATAACAACATTTCCAAAAGTGTCTTAATGTTTTGGAAGTCTGTCATCATATGCTATCATGTTTTTCCACAGTCAGCTGTCAGATCACTGGGGAAATGTCATGTTCTGAGCCATTTCAGCCTACAAAACAAATCCTGATTATGTACGATTTTTCATTCACAAACTTTTAGCACTTACTTTGCGCTTCACTGAACTTGCAGAGTGTGAAAAGAACCAGGAGAACGAAAACGGCAGCAGATCCTTTAGGCCTCAAATCCATTTTCTTGTTAGATGATGGATCGATAAAGTAATATCGAAGACAAATCCCTTTTTTCCCGACTGAATCAAACTCCCATCAAGCAGTTGTGAGTGATAGCTAATGTGCGAAACAGACTTCAAACTTAACCTTTGAGACGAACGCTTATCTCGGTTTTATTGGCTATAAAGATGAGCACAGGCGGACTTTTGCCTCAGATATGAACACAGCTGCTCTACATATGCATGTACATCTCATAAACCATGATCACAATGAAGAACGATGTTTACAGAACAATATTTTTAGTTGTGTGCAGATGGTTAGCGTAAGAGCTGTTTCCAAAATGTTATACAGTTCAGGCCATCTTGAAATGTGAAACATAACATTGTAAAATACAACTAAAGTTAAAAGTATTAAGAATCGTATTGGACACAGTAGTGTCTTTTGGCGATAAATATAAATGTTGAAGATGTTTTAGCTATATTTTAGCAAAGCTGCTATCTTATTTCTTATTCCTGAACGAAAAGTGCCATAAATGGGGAACTTTGTCATCTTCACCCTGTTGAAAAAACCAGCATATGCTGGTTAGGTATGTTTTGACGCTGGGATGCTGGTCCTTTGCTGGTTTATGCTGGTCATGTGCTGGTTTATGCTGGTCATGTGCTGGTTTATGCTGGTCATGTGCTGGTTTATGCTGGTCATGTGCTGGTTTATGCTGGTCATGTGCTGGTTTATGCTGGTCATGTGCTGGTTTATGCTGGTCATGTGCTGGTTTATGCTGGTCATGTGCTGGTTTATGCTGGTCATGTGCTGGTTTATGCTGGTCATGTGCTGGTTTATGCTGGTCATGTGCTGGTTTATGCTGGTCATGTGCTGGTTTATGCTGGTCATGTGCTGGTTTATGCTGGTCATGTGCTGGTTTATGCTGGTCATGTGCTGGTTTATGCTGGTCATGTGCTGGTTTATGCTGGTCATGTGCTGGTTTATGCTGGTCATGTGCTGGTTTATGCTGGTCATGTGCTGGTTTATGCTGGTCATGTGCTGGTTTATGCTGGTCATGTGCTGGTTTATGCTGGTCATGTGCTGGTTTATGCTGGTCATGTGCTGGTTTATGCTGGTCATGTGCTGGTTTATGCTGGTCATGTGCTGGTTTATGCTGGTCATGTGCTGGTTTATGCTGGTCATGTGCTGGTTTATGCTGGTCATGTGCTGGTTTATGCTGGTCATGTGCTGGTTTATGCTGGTCATGTGCTGGTTTATGCTGGTCATGTGCTGGTTTATGCTGGTCATGTGCTGGTTTATGCTGGTCATGTGCTGGTTTATGCTGGTCATGTGCTGGTTTATGCTGGTCATGTGCTGGTTTATGCTGGTCATGTGCTGGTTTATGCTGGTCATGTGCTGGCAAAGGACCAGCATAAACCAGCAAAAGGACCGGCATAAACCAGCAAAGGACCAGCTTAAACCAGCATCCCAGCGTCAAAATATACCTAACCAGCATATGCTGTTATTTTCAAATAGACCAATAATGCACACTAAGCAAATTCAAGTGTGTCTATGACTTTATGACTGAAATAAACAAACTAAAAAAGCTAACAGCATCACAAAAGCAGAAATTAATTCTTCGGTTTTGATATATATATATATATTTTTTTTTTTTGCACATGCTAGTAGCTAGTCATTAGTGGGCGTAGGTTTCACGTACAGTAACGGGTAATCTTCAAGCAACCAATTAAGTCATCTGACTCATATACTGTACTGTAATACGTAAGTATCTTGTTATATTATTGCGGATAACTGATAAAAAAATTTGCATATGATGAAAGATGCAATAAAGTCATTACTGCTAGACCTATACCTACCATATTTACAGTTCTTTTTTCAAAAACTGCATTAGCATGATGAACGTAGTAGCAAACAACTCGATGTATTTTACACTGAGAAACATTTAAGGATATTGAACCCAGTACAAATGGATTTTCCTCATAATTTGCTTACAGTAAAAAATACTGTTTAGGTAATAGTGTATAGGTTTACTGTATGTGGGTCATTCCTGGTATTCGGTGCCTTTTGTGTCCCCAGTACAGAATATGATCTTGCTGGTTTATGAACAATTTAAAGATTAGTCATAGTCATAAATAACATCATTTGAACTTTAAGCATATTAAAGTTTATTTAAAAAATGGAACATTTTTCTAGCACTTGAGACCATCTAATTTTTCCTATGTGCCCGCTTGCATCCCATTTTTAAATAATTTTAAATTTTTGTTGTATTTTTTAATACAACAGTTACTGTAATTATTTTCCCCCACATTTTTGCGTATATTTTTAATAATTTATTACCAGCTTTTAAATAAACAAAAGGCAACATTATAACAAAATAATTGAGTGGAGTTTAACTGTATTAAAGGAAATATTCTTTTGAACTCAAACTCAGATGAAATAAGTTTCCAGTACTCATAACTACTGGTTTCTAAACTTAAATGAATGAAGTCAATCGGTTTCCTAAATTGAAATGAGTTATTATAACTCGTTGGGTTTTACAGGGTAAGATAATGCACACAATTCCAATATATTAAAATCAGTCTTTTTTAAAAGTCTTTTAAACTGTTGTCCATTTTTCCATAACAGAGTGGGCATTTTTGCTCTTCCATTTCATAGATTTTGTTTCATAAATGCTTACATTTATTTGCCTAAGCTTGACCAAAACCATTTTTAAATGTTTACATCTCCCTATCATGATTACACAAAAAGTTATTTTTTATGTCCAAAAGGCACTAAGTATAGGAAGACCCATGCATGTCACTTTGATTACCATATTCATCATGTAGCATTGATTAATATCTTCTTAATAAATCCCTTCTTGTGCTATTTTTGTACCATGTCTATACAGTTTACTTCACTGACCATGCCTGTTTATTGTGACCTCATATAATTTACAAGTCTGTGACTGGTCGTATATTAACTATGATCTTGTGAGTCAAGCACATTATATCAGCATGAAAGCTTTCGTAGTTCTATAAAGCTCCTATGAAGGCTCATGAAGTTATTGTCTGTGTTAAATTTATAAACCAATATGTGCCTTTGAGGAGCTAAAGGCGTGCTATAATAAATAAGACAAAACGCTATTCTCAAGTCCAGAGTTTATTTTGCATTTGAGATGTTACTGACTGCAACTGAATCTGCAGTTTTATGAGACATATTTGGAGGCCATTATTTATTCAGATATATACAAACAGCTTGTCTCAAACATGTTAAAACTGATTCTTCAAGTTTCTTGGACATGAAGCCACAGTCTTCACTGGTACACGTTTGGACATGAATACAGTCTCATCAGGGAAATCAATCTGTCTGTTTCTCCACCGACACCGCTGCAAACACAGAGCATGAAATATCATTCAAGCTAGAATATATCATTTGAGAGCAAAAATAAATGTTACATATTGAAGTATATTGCTAAGTAATTTTGTATACCAATAACTGGGTTAGCTTACTGCTTAGAGAAAAGCTATGCACTTTACACATCAACTGATTGCTAAAAAAAAGCATCACGTTATTTAACGTTATGTATCATTTTATACACACACACACACACACACACACACACACACACACACACACACATATATATATATATAGATCAAGGATGTTTCCAAGGGAGGCAGTGTCTCCTCAAAATATTGGATGAGAAAAAAATTCGTAGTACAAAAATAAAACAACTGCAATGTTACAAAATATTAAAAAGTGTATAAATCAGTTGTTTCAGTCTAAATGAACAATATAATGGCATTAATGGGAAGACAATTTTAAAAAAAGTAAGTCAACAAATCACACACTTATATATAACTCAAAATGGCCTGAAAACATGATCAGTGGGAGTTTTTAATGAGTAATCAATCAGCTTAGTGCAATTTAAGGTAAATATCTGTGTCTGTGACCAGTATTCACTGAGCTTTGATGAATGATGATCCGAAAAATTCAAAAATGGTTAAAAGTTAACTATTAAAAAGAATAGCTGAACATAAGTTCACAATTAATATATATTGTTTAAAATGTTACTGCCTTGAGTTATTATTTTGGAATAAATGTAAAACACTAACTTGATGAGATTCATACTTTAAAAACACTAACTTGATGAGATTCTTGGCTTTAATAAATACAATATTGATTACATTGTTCATGTAAAAATATAAAATAAAATAAAAATTATTTTCCTGGTAATGTAAGTAATGTTTATGAATTTAAATTTGATTAAAAATAATTTTTTGAAGACTTTACCTCCTCATTTCAGAACACTACCGCACACCTCTAAAACTGAGTTTGTTAAATGCTAAGAGAAAATTGTGAAAAAGAGTTTCATGTTGCCACCTGCCAGGAGAAAGCTATGTTACGAAGCATTATGGATCATGCTAAACAATACAAAGTTAGCATATTGTAAAGCTATACAGTTACGTTTAGTGTTAACTGAGTTTATTTACTAAAAAAAAAAAAAAACATACTGTACATAAAGCTATATTTAACAATAACCAAGTTTGCTAACTGCTAAGAGAATACTATGTTCGAAACTTTTCCTTCATGTTTCTCAAATAGCACACTTATATGTCTGCAAGACGTCTGTTAAAGATCGCTTCATCTGGAAAGCATCTGCTGTGTACAAACATCTGATAGACGTCAGTTTTACATACATTCTAAATCATAAACATCTTCAAGACATCTTCTAAACATCTATTTGACATCTGATAGGAAACGTCCTATAGATGTATTGCAGATGAGCAAACACTCTAAAAATATGTCTTGCAGATGCAAATGCAGACGTCAAATAGACGTCTCCGTGATGTAGCCTACGTGTGCTATCAGGGAACTTAGCTGCAAATATCAAGCGCACAAATGTAAATCAAAAGATCTCTTGATTTGGATGAGCATATCGGAGGCTTTACCTTTTCTTGCTGCTTTGCATGCGTTTCAGGAGGGCGCAGATGGATGTGATTTTAGCTTTGGATTTCAGGAGTTCAGCATATCTGTTTGTGAACTCGATGTCGCCCAACTGCCTCGTCTGAAGCCCAGATCTCCTGGAGATACGGGTCGGATTCGATGTCAAAGTGTCAAAGTATAACAAGTGCATCAAAGTATGTTGGATTCTTCCAGATAAAGGCTCAAAAGATCTAATTTTAAATGTTTATCAATTGATACAAGTAGATACTACAAGAAACTTGCTGAGAAGAACCAGTGTTCTCCACCACCCTGGCCTACACTTAAACATACATGGATCTGACAGGATCCCAAAAGTGACTTATTTATTAACAATAAAAGTTTATGAGACCCACCCGTCTCGGTCATCAAAAAGCATATCTGCATCATCCCTAGGAAACAACATCTTTCTAGGAGAAAATGTGTCCGCTGTTGAGATGCTGTCCTCTTCTCCAAGATACCTGCGATGATAAAGGCCAAAACAAAAATGATCTCAGCAAACACACGGATAATGTATTAGACTACAGCGTCCCTCACGAACAGGTGGCTCATTCAGCATTCATGATGGTCACATAAAGCTTAAGGGGTTTGAACCCATGACCAACTGGTTAGTAATGCAGATCAGTGGTTCTCGACTTGTTTTGCTTCAGGACACAGATTTGACATTGGACATAAATCTAACACCATAGCTAAATTGGTGCAAACTGGGAGTTATTAATATCACTACACTTTTAAAAATAAATGTTATTTATTGGCATCGATGGTTCCACGAAGAACCTTTAACATCCATGGATTCATTCCATTCCACAAAAGGTTCTTTAAGAAAAGGAAATGGTTCTTTTAAGAACTGTTCACGGAAAGTTCTTTGTGGAACGAAAGGGCTCTTTTTGGATCCTTTATTTGAAAGAATGTACAATCTGCATAGGCCCAACAATATGCAATATTGTTCAATATACTACCGCAAAGGTGATTGATAATTTTTCAATGCATAAACAACAACACAAGTTACTAGACTTAACACATGAAACAAACACTAAGATAATATTATATTAATATTAGCAACATTAACAGTGACAAATGAATCTGCACCAAAAATATGCCTTTGAAATTGCAACAAGAAAAAATGCTATTGTTTAAGTTAATAAGCCTTTTTTTCTATTCTATAGGCCTGCACACTCTTAGAAAGAAAAGTTCATTTGTGTTCTATGTAGAACCCTAGGGTTCTTTACTCAACTGAAAAGAACCCTTTATGCCAAAAAGGTTTAATATAAGGAGAAAGAACCCTTTTTGGCACAAAGGGGTTCTTTAGGCTAAACAGTGCTTTATGTATAGGCTATTTAAAATCATTACAGTATTATGCATTATATTTGTGCTTTTACTTCAATTTTACTTTGGCTCACCTTTCATTTTGAAAAAAACATGTTCCATTGTTAGCTAGATAGTTCAACGATTTGGTATTTCCCGAATTCATAATTCTAATGAACATTCGGAAACAGAATCACAAAGATATGTGGCTTGAACTACAGCTCTCAACCTGTGGTTGGACCTGCTTGACGTCATTAATGACAATTCTAAACAACGTGGTTTGAACAGCGGATATGTGACAAAGTTCCTACTTTTTCAGGAAAGAATTGTGACTAGCCGGTTAGTTTCTCCAACAATGCATATGTTAGCAAGTTATGTCATTGTTTGGGAAACGCACCCCAGAACAGACCTTCAACCCACCGGTTTACTGTTGCATTTTTACAGTCTTTTACCGTTAAATTCACGGTCATTTTTTACAGTGTATATGTATCCTGCTGTGCGGCATGCAAAACTCTGTCTAAAATGATCTAAAGAAGTGGCCAAAACCCCACTAAAACCAGCCTGCTCCCAGTATAATTATACATGTTGTTTTTGTAAACTCGTATACTTGACCTTAAATCGACTACAATTATATAGCTTTAATTTAAAATCTTGGGAGAAAAAACTAGGAAAGAGAAAAATAATCACGAATGTTTCAGCAACTGGTAAAATTCATGCATTTTCACGCGCGCGAGCAAAAATTCCATTAAAGTAACCATAGCAAAAGTACAAGCACTTCGTGTCAGAATGAGTATCGGACAAACTGTCATTATTTTTTCCACTTTACTACAGATTCACAAAACTTAAAACACAAAAACTTCTTTATGACAGTTGGCGCTCATGAATATCTGTGCTAGAAATTTTTAACAGTAAACCCAGATGGCACAAGCACGTCTGCAAGATGTCTGTTAAAGATCGCTTCATCTGGAAAGCATCTGCTGTGTACAAACATCTGATAGACGTCTCTAAGATGTCAGTTTTACATTCATTCTAAATCATAAACATCTTAAAGACATCTTCTAAACGTCTATTTGACATCTGATTGGAAACGTCCTATAGACGTATTCAGGGCCGTTTCTAGGCATAGGCGAGCTAGGCAGTCACCTAGGGTGCCACCAGCTGAAGGGGCGCCAATGAGCGCACGTACTGGCACTTTTAGCAGGGTTGTGATAAAGAGTGGCATGGTCACCCTGAAATATGACTGCCACCCCCACTGGATCCCCCAACATTAGACAAAAAGTAGTATATATATAATTTGGGGGGGGCAATAGGGCGTCAAATTGGCTAGAAACGGCCCTGGACGTATTGCAGATGAGCACACTCTAAAAAATGTCTTGCTGATGTAAATGCAGTCGTCAAATAGACATCTCCGTGCTATCAAGGTTATATTTGCACAGTGGATAACAATTAATATAAGCGTTTTAATATACCCTGATAGAACATGTAGCCTACATAACAGAGACGTCTATTTGACATCTGCAAGACGTATTTTTTAGTTTGCGCTCATCTGCAATACATCTATAGGACGTTTCCTATCAGACGTCAAATATACATTTAGAAGATGTCTTTAAGATTTTTATGATTTAGAATGAATGTAAAACTGACGTCTTAAAGACGTCTATCAGATGTTTGTCCACAGCAGATGCTTTCCAGATCAAGAGATCTTTAACAGACATCTTGCAGACGTAGGTGTGCTATCTGGGTAACAGTAAACCTCCCTGAAAATCTGACATCTGAAAGACGTCTATCAGATGTTTGTCCACAGCAGATGCTTTCCAGATCAAGAGATCTTTAACAGACATCTTGCAGACGTACATGTGGTATCTGGGTAGCACACGTACGTCTGCAAGATGTCTGTTAAAGATCGCTTCATCTGGAAAGCATCTGCTGTGTACAAACATCTGATAGACGTCAGTTTTACATTCATTCTAAATCATAAACATCTTAAAGACATCTTCTAAACGTCTATTTGACATCTGATAGGAAACGTCCTATAGACGTATTGCAGATGAGCAAACACTCTAAAAATATACCTTGCAGATGTAAATGCAGACATCAAATAGATGTCTCCGTGATGTATGTGTGCGATCAGGGATAAAAAAATAATAATATAAGCGATTTAATACAGCAGTGGAAAATGTCACACCCACCGTCGGCAGGACGAGATTATTATCAGTGGATTGTTAGTCGAAACTAAAGGTTGACGCTGACACGTCTCTGGCGTTATCCAGCCATACTAACTATAACAAGTGATGTTATTATAAAGATAACCTCAGGGTAATATAATGAAACGCCTCAGATATTAACAGTAACGCGACGCTAAGCCGCTTAAAGACTCTGGATGGAAATAGAAGCACTCGAAGATCCGCGCTGCGAACCTGACGGAAAACTTTCGCGTCGAAGAGCGAAGAATGAACAGCGATGCTCTTAGAGCTCACTGTGAGCGTCTTCCCCTGCTTTACGAATAGAACACAACGGGACGCAGCTCCAAAGCGGAACTTTGTCGGAGTTTTGAGAAACGCGCAGATCATGGCAAAGAAGAAGCGGGTTTCGCCGGTCAGTTTTATCAAGGGATGCCCAGATGACAGGTTGTTATAGAGGCAGACATGCCAGCCAACCTCACCGCCTCCAGCCACGGCACGAACTACAACTTCCCAGCGCTCATCTTCGGGGTATTACTGATCATTATCATCATCTGCGGGAACGTGCTGGTGTGTCTGAGCGTCTACACGGAGAAAGCGCTGAAAACCACAACCAACTACTTCATAGTCAGCTTGGCTGTTGCGGATTTGTTGCTGGCTGTTCTGGTCTTACCGCTGTTCGTGTACGCAGAGGTGAGTCGAGTCACTTCATTGCCTAGACATTTAATATAATATTGTATTATAGCCTAATATGTACAATGTTTAAGGTGACCGGGAAACAAACAGGTACCTACTTTAAAACCCTGCTAAGCTGGTTTATCTGGTGATCATCTTAAATGACGAGGTACAACCTTCTTATTGGTACCACTTTCATGAAGGTTTTCGCAGGTCCATATTAAACCTAGTTTAAGTCAGCTATATGTAATAACGTGATATCATGCAATATTCACTCAATATTAAAAATGTTAATAAATTATTTAAATATAATTTTGATTTATATATATATATATATATATATATATATGTAATATTTACTGAATGTTAAAATATAATAATAATTTTGAGTGTGTGTGTGTGTGTGTGTATACTGTATATATATATATATATATGTAATATTTACTGAATGTTAAAATATAATAATAATTTTGAGTGTGTGTGTGTGTGTGTGTATACTGTATATATATATATATATATGTCTGTATGCAATATTTACTTAATATTAAAATATCCGTTATTGTTAACACCTTTTTCTTGCTTAAAAACAATAAACAAACTTGGGGGGGGGATTAAAATAGTAATTAATATATATAAATTAATACATTTTGAGTGTGTGTGTATATATATATAAAACGAATAGCATGAATTATTTATGTAATACCTAAATATTTAATTTTGAGTGTGTGTGTGTGTATATATGCAATATTTACTTATAAAAAATATTTAAATAAATTATATATAATGTATTATATATATGTAATATAAAAAAATCTAATTATTAAATTTTTTTGTGTTTGTGTATATATACACATACACTTAATATTAAAAATATATATTAATATAAAAAAAAATTACATTTAATTTTTTAGCGTTTGTGTGTATGAACACACACAAACACTTAATTAAAAAAATAATAATTTAAATATTTAATTTTGAGTGATTTTTTTTAATGTGAACATAAAACGTGTTTAAAACATGTTTTTTTTGTTTCAACAATAACTGAAGCTTGCCATTAACTATGGTTACCATGGTAACAGTAATCTATAATCTTTCATCTATTTACTTGATTGCAATTAAATTCTTAACCAATCTGATAAACAACTATATAGCACTGTTCCGTAACAATGCAAAACAAACTTGGCGTCGTCAATACTCAGTTGTTACCCTTGCATGAAAAATTTTGCAGACATGCAATCATTTGGCCCCCTCCTGCTGAGACTGTCTGTCTCTGCCAGAGCCGGATGTCATAAACACACATCGCACAATATGCATTGTCTGCCATCCCGAGATGTGGGTGCGAGGTCCGAGACCAAAGAGGCCTCCAAAAAACTAGCAATCGGACATTCCATTCAGGCATGGATTCGGGGCCATGCTGGTTACCGTGTCCCCTAGACTGGATACTGAGGGCCCCAGCCAGCGGGGACAAGGTCGTTGAGGACAACGGCTCATGGCGGTCTCGCTGGCTCTTCAGGTCAAGGACACGGAGAAAATATGCTCCAGTGAGTCAGCTGTAGCTTAATTACAATTTTACATGAGCCCCCTCACCATAATCTCATGGCTTCCACTTGTATGGTGAATGTGGCTCGTTGGCATGGGAGAGAGGCCATTACCAAAAAGCAATTAAGAATCTGTCCTCTTCTCCAGGCCAATAATTAAAATGCCATTAAATCCTCCTCTCTGCTGTTTTATCTCTTTTTTTAGACCACGGGATGCATATCTGCTACAAAATTACCTTCAGCCCTGGAGCATGTGGTGTGTGTGTGTGTGTGTGTGTGTGTGTTTGGCTTGGTTGTTGTGACAACACCACGCTGATAATAGGGAAATTAAGGTTTCACAGTCGCTCCGCTGTGGCTCTAAGAACACGAAGTTAGGGGAAGGTGAAAGAGGTCAGAGAGCCATGGGAATGGAGTGATTGGAAAAGACGGTGAGGATAGACAGAGGAAAGGATGTTAGAAGCAACAGATGGGTGAAGAGTAAAAGACGGTGATGATTTTCTCTCCTTCCCAGTTCCAGGATGGGGTTTGGTCCCTCAATATGACCCTATGTGATGGACTGATGACCATGGATGTCATGCTCTGCACCGCCTCTATATTTAACCTCTGCGCCATCAGCATAGACAGGTGGGTCTGACTGTTGCACACATTGTGTCTGCGGGACACAGGATTATTACCAAAAAAGTAAAATAATAATGATAAATTATTAATTAATTAAAAATGAATAAAAACTCATTACTTAAAAATGTTTAAAGTAAAATTAAATAAAAATACTTAAAGGGTTAGTTCACCCAAAAATGAAAATTCTGTCATTAATTACTCACCCTCATGTCGTTCCAAACCCGTAAGACCTTCGTTCATCTTCGGAACACAATTTAAGATATTTTTGATGAAATCCGAGAGCTCTCTGACCCTCCCATAGACAGCAAGGTAACTACCACGTTCAAGGTCCAGAAAAGTACCAAGATGATCGACAAAGTAGTCCGTGTGACATCAGTGGTTCAACTGTAAAGTTACGAAGCTACGAGAATACTTTTTTGAGCAGAGAAAACAAAAATAACGACTTTATTCTACATTTTCGTCTCTACTGCGTCACTTTGGACGCGCGTTCACGACAGTATCATGATGCAAGCGTGTGTTGGCGCTGACCCAGATTCGGCGTGATGACGTCATTACCTGGTAGTTACCTTGCTGTCTATGGGAGGGTCAGAGAGCCCTCAGATTTAATCAAAAATATCTTAATTTGTGTTCCGAAGATGAACGAAGGTCTTACGGGTTTTGAAAAAGTTTGAACTTATTTCAGTAATTATAATCATTTCTCTCTTTTTTTTAAATCTAACTTGAAGTACTAAAATACCTAAAACTAGTATAAATATTAATAAGAACAGGCACACTTAAATAATAATAATAACAATGTATTTATAATTAAATAACAAAATTATGAAAAATAAAAACCAATTAAAAATATTAATTAAAAAAATATATATATATATCAGTGATGCTAAAATAAAACTGGCGGGACAAAAACAACAATTTTATTTAGGCGCTCATGCATTATCAGTTTTGAAAGGTTTGTCATGGACTGTTTTCCACATTTTTTAATCAAAGTCATCATCAAAAGTATGAAATAACACAAATTAAATTGAAAATAAAAAAAATTAAAAAAATTTAAAGGTATATTTTAGCTATATCAAACAAAGATTCAGTTTGGACTAAATCTGGACAATTTAAAAATGAATTACCATATGTATGTAAATGTGATAATATGAGATAATATTATATTTTTTGTTAATATTTAGAATTTTTTTTACATTGTTATGTTATTTATTTTTCCATTTTCCATTCTCCATTTTCACTTTAGTTAGATTTTAATAATTTCGTTTAGCAGTTTAGTGTTTTTGCCATTATTATTGTTATTAGTATTATTATTATTATTATTTTAAAATGTGAGTTTTTATTCATTTCTATTTCAGTTTTAGTTTGAGTTATTTTAGTATATCATAAGTTAAACTTAATGAAAATGAAAAATGCTTCTAAAAATGTATCTTTTTATATTTTATTTTATTTAACGTTTATTTATTTCAAGTAATGAATACATTTTTTGTATAGTTTTAGTTATCTATAATAACCCTGTTCCCAACCTTATGCAAATTAGATTTCATGCCAATGTACAGTAGTTTCTACTACTAAATAAGCTTCTACTACACTCTTAAAAATAAAGGTGCTTCACGATGCCATAGAAGAACCTTTTTGTCTAAATGGTTCCATAAAGAACCTTCAACATCTGAAGAACCTTTCTGTTTCACAAAAGGTTCTTTGGGGCGAAATAAGGTTCTTCAGATTATAAAAAGGTAAGAAAGAGATGGTTCTTTAAAGAACCTTTGACTGAATGGTTCTTTGTGGAACCAAAAATGGTTCTTCTATAGCATCGCTTGAAGAACCTTTTGAAGCACCTTTATTTTTAAGAGTGTACTTCTAATAAAAATGTATTTATTTCCAGTCATTATCAAAGAAAAAACTCACCATGGTAACCCAGAAATCACTTTATTTTAGGGACAGAGTTGTAACAATGCTGTGTGAAAGACATAAAATGTGTAAAACTGGCCTTTAAAGTCTGATTCTTGAACTCATGGGAATTGGGGTAAGGATTGATGAACTTAAATTCATGCAGTACACTGATTTTGCACAGCTAGTTTTATATTTTGGAAGCTGTAAGGGTCACAGCAGGTTACCTTCCTAATTGTGGGTCTGTTTGAAGGCACGATGAAATAGCATTTATAATAAAAGTGGCTTCCTGCTATGATTAAAAGAAGAGAGAGACAGACAGAGATAGAGACTGAGCAGATGTGTTCAGAATAACTAAATGGCATTAAGTTGCAGGCATTACCTCGTAATGACACCTGATTCCTCATTTAGACCCTCCTCTGTTGTCCCGCCGTTGCTGGCCTGGCGATTCGAGTCAACCGCAGGGTCATTAAGTACCCTCCTGCCATTCTGTGTGGCTCAGCAGAAGGTGCTTTGAGAGATTAATGAGATACACGCTCAGAACGGCACTCTGTAGAGATACAACAGTGTGAAACTCGTTATGCAAGGAAAGACTGCAAACACATCGTTTGGCAGAAGTCGCCACACAATCAGCATGAAACAGCAATATGTGGAGAACAGATACACGGACCAGCGCTGTGTGTAACAGGAGTTGTTTAAAACACGAGTTGTGAGATGCTGGGATGCCTCAGGGTTCACGCTCCTGTTTACAAACATACTCAGCCAGTAATAAAGACACATGGCTGTTTCTATCACTGATATGATGATGATATTCAGCTTTGAGAACCAGTTAAATTCATAGAGAACGCAGCTTAACTCAGATTTATTTATAAAGCCCTTTCAAAAGCATAGAAATGTACCCAAGTGCTGCACATAGATAACATAAAACTCTAAAAATCATTACAAACAAAAAAAGCAACATATCACAACAACAAATCATCCAGTTATTAAATAAAATTATATGCATGAATCTCACATATATAGGTGGATCGCACAAATCATACTCAACATTTACACCCCTCAAAATATAAAAAGGTTTAGTTTGCATTAAAATAAAAATAAAAAAATATATATATATTATAAATATAAATAATGACAGTTAAGTATTTTTGCCTCAATACAAAATTACATACAGTCGTATGTACTTTTAAGTGGTAGTTCTCACAATTGAAATATATATGTATATATATTATATATTATATATTATGCATTGAATAAGTATTTGTAATACATATATAATGTGACAATATGATTATGAGAACTTGGAGAACATTGTGTGTATGCATTTATATTATGGATTTTTGACGTGTGTGTGTGTGTGTATATGACTTTTTTAAGAACGCTCCTTTTGGCTTTTAGCCTGCGCAACCGAGCTGACGTTCAGGGGTCGTTAAAGCCACCCGGCTGGTAAACACACACGCCGATGCCACGGCAACCCCGCTGATGTCATAATGACCTCATAAACGACTTTGTGTCTCACTTATTTTAAAGGCTGAAGGGTGAAGGAGTGGGGATGGAAAACTGAATGGGCCTGAAAGACCCCATCACTCTCTCATGTTTTAAACCAGAGATCAAAGAAAATAAAATCATTGTATTTTATATAAAGATAATCTGACTTTTTGGACCATAAAAGTTTTAGATTTTTGCATTATTTGCATGAGCAAATTATATATATATATAATTTTTTCTTTTTGTTTGTATTTTTATTTTATTTATAAAAATTTTTAAGTGGTTCTCAGATATTTTTTCTACAATAAGCATACATTTTTGGGCTTTTTTTTTCCAAGATAAGGAATTTTGGGAAAAATATGACAAAACATTTCTTTAAAAATGTAATGTCTAAATCTAAAAAAATATATACAGTATATACATATAGATTTTTCAACGTAGATTTTGGGGTGAAATATGACCTGGACATTTCACTGGTTTTGTGAGATTCACCTTTATGCTTTATCTTAAACTGGAATCACATTATAAAACACAAACATGTTGGATATGAGTGATATTATCTGATTAGCAGTTTGAGGGTCCAGGGGAATACTAGGTCAACACATAATTGGGTAAACTCAATCAGCGAATAAGAGATTCGAGCAGTGGCTTGGCTAGCATATAATGATAAAAGCAATGTGTTCATCAGGGTCAAGAAAATTTTGTTGTTGATTTAATAGCTTTGCATGGACTGTCTTGTAATACCTCATATGGCTGGCTCCAGGTTCATCGCAGTCTCCATCCCTCTTAATTACAACCGCAAACACGTGGATCAGCGACAGATTGTCCTGCTTTCTGCCACATGGATCCTGGCCTTGGCCGTGGCCTCCCCCGTGATGTTCGGAATCAACAACGTCCCCAACCGGGACCACAGCGAATGCAAGCTGGAGGACAACAACTACGTGGTGTATTCCTCCGTCTGTTCGTTTTTCGTGCCGTGCCCCATCATGCTTTTGCTGTACTGCGGGATGTTCCGGGGCCTGAGGAACTGGGAGGAGGCGCGGAAGGCCAAGCTGAGGAGCAGCATGCAGGCCTGCAGAAAGCTTCAGGAGGCCGCCGCGTCCCTGCAGCCGCTGTCTGGCCTGCCGCCCCCTCTGCCGCCTGTGATCATGAAAGATCTGACTGACATTACCTTAGAGGAGCTGGAGCAGGACCCTGACAGCCCGGATCCCGTGTCCATGCTCGCCTACCCCGGTGGGAGCTACCATGAACATCGAAACCAGAACCAGCAAAGGAAGAGGGCGAAAATTAATGGGAGGGAAAGGAAAGCAATGAGGGTGCTTCCTGTTGTAGTAGGTAAGAAGACATGAAATACATCATGTCCTGTTTATGACCCCATATTAATTGAGAGACTACATAAATGAATTTATTAAGGTAGAAATATTCTGTCACACCTTAGGGCTATTTAATATATGACAAAAAAATGGTTAAAAATACGAAGAACTAAATGGAGGCCAGTTACAGCACCTAAAATATTCACTTTCCCTTATAAATCTTCACCCAAAATTTTGATGTTGACAAAGTTCAGGGGCATGTTCTCCACCAACTGCTAAAATTTGTGTTTTCTGCTAGTGATTAGGTTTACGAAAAGTAATTTATATACTCTCTAAACATTAATGAAATTATTAATAATGATTAATTAAGGATACTGAAATAACTGAAAATTAATTCATTATGGACTGTTTTTTTTAATGGCCTTCAATTTGCAGATTTTTTGAAGGAGAAATTAACATGACATGTTTTTCAGTACATTTAAAGGAAACCTATTGAAAAAACTTTATTGAAAAAAAAACATGATTGTATTTAATTAATTGGTGAATTGTTTATTTTTAAAATTGCCGCTTAATAGGGCCCAACCAACATTCTTCCCATACAAAGACATTTTATTTTGAAATTATTTGAAATTTTAATTTATAATGTAATTTTTATATTTAAAAAAAAAAAAATGTAAAAAAAAATGTATTTTGTAGCCTTCAATTTGCAGATTGTTTGCAAGAGACGATTACCATGCTTTTTCAATAAAAAATCTAATTACTCATATGATTAATTGATGGATCATTTATTATTAAAGTACACATTGAACAGCAACATTCTGACCCTATAAGACATTTTATTTTGAAAATGTGAAGTTACTTGAAATGTATAGCATAGCATTTATGTTTTATTAAATAATTTTTTTGTGCTTATTTTATATTTTTGTAGCTTTAAACTTGCTGTTTGTTTGAAGGAGACAATTAACATGACATGCTTAAATGTTTTTGTTGATTAATAATAAATCAAAAAAGACAGATAATTGATTATTAAAGTAGCAAAGAAATGTTTTTGCCTAAATGTAACATTTATTAAGGTAAGGGAAACAAATGTATTTTCTAGTAGCTTTGATTCAACCATAAAATGCACCAGAACAAAACTGCAGATGCATATTTACACCTCTGCTCTCTCTTACCTCCATCCGAGGTGTTGTGAGTTAAAAAAAAAAATAGAACTGGGCTTCGAGGAGTGATTACAAACACTCTTTCTACATGTGCTGAACTGAGGAACTCCTCCGAGCCTCATTGGCTAATCATTCCTCAGCAATCCTCCAATCCGATTATGATGTAAGCCTGGCTTTAGTCCAGCAGGCAGTGTGGGGGCAGCCGTCACATTGAGACATGCACTTATCCTCTTCACAGGTTCCTGGGAGATGTGCCACCGATGTGCTCTGTACAGTACTGACAGTACTTGCCAATCATTTCAGCCTGAGTACAGATAAGAGAGAGAAAGAGGGAGAGAGGGGTTACAGATAAAGGTCAGGATTTTCCACATTGACAGTCAAGTTCAAAAGCTCAATCTCAAAAAAAAAAAAGTTTTATAAAAAACGTATTTAGTTGTTTGCAAAATAAATAAGCGTAAAGGTCGAAGTACATTGGACCCCACTGACTCCATACGCTTCTACACTCTTAAGGTTCTTTATTGGCATCTATGGTTCCACAAAGAACCGTTAACATCCATTCACTCTTAAAAAGGGTTCTAAAAGGGTTTTTTCGGTTTCGGTTTTTGGTTCCCTAAAGAACCTTTCAGTCAGCAGTTCTTAAAAGAACAATTTATTTCTTAATGTGAAGAACATTTTAATAATCCGAACAACCTTTTTCCACTATAAAGAGCCTTTTGTGCAATGAAAAGGTTCAATGCAATGAAGGTTCTTTGTGGAATCATAAATGGTAGTAAAAAGAGTTTTCCACAAAAGGTTCTTTATAGTGCAAAAAGGTTCTTTAGAGTTTGAAGCCTTTTGCATGCTGTAGAAGAACCATTTTTGGTTCTCCAAAGAACCTTTCAGTGAACAGTTAAAAGAACCATTTTTTTTCTTAGTGTAAAGAACATTTCAATAATCTGAAGAACCTTTTCCACAGTAAATAACCTTTTGTGGAATGGAAAGTTTCCAGGGATGTTAAAGGTTCTCTGGTGAATTATTGATTCATTATTAATTATATTAATTATTTTTTAGAGTGTAGAGAAAAACAAAAATGGTTATTCTATGGTATGGCTTCGAAAAAAACTGCACTTTAAGAATGCAGAGATGCCCTTTCCGGTGACTTTCAGCCATCCTACCTGTTCTCTCCTTCCTCTCACTTCTGATGGATAACAGATCTGTGGAACCTAGCAGGAGCGGGACAGATTGCTGGGTCATATTTCTGACGAGAGCAACCCTTCATACTGCTATGCTTCTGTCTGGAAGCTTTCGGAGTAGAAGTGAATAAAATAACTTATATCTGTGATCTGAGATGATGCTTGCTCAGCTGAGAAATTTGAGTTACGTCTGATTTAAAAACCTGTAAAACGAAGAGAACAGGGTTAAATGTTCACTGTACTGTAGCACAAATGTGATCCTGTAGATTCCTCCAAAACAACAGACAATATCGTTCTGTTTATTATACGCGAACCCTGCAGTTATTTGTCTGCTGCTTTAAATGCTATAAAGTTGTGTGGATTGTGATTGGTTATCAATGTTTTTATCGCTCATCAGCAGGAAAAAAAAAGTTCTAAAAGTGATTCCAGTCATATTTTTTCTCTGTGTTCAGTGTTGCCAAGTCTGTGGTTTTCCTGCAAAATTGGGTTTTATCTATACTGTTGCCGTAGGTTGTTTTTTAGTCCGCAGGTTAAAGCGATCTCCCCAGAACATGGAAAACTGTGGGAAAAAAGGTGATTGGGCTAGTTTTCAATAGCAATTGGGATAGTTTTGTTTCGCAGACCTGGCAACCCTGTCTGTGTCGTTATCATTATAGCTGTAGTCACAGAATTAGAATTATTGTTATCATTATAGTTATCGTCCTTGGTGTGACCATGACTTTTTTTGTTAATGGTTTGCCATTTGTTTACACAAAGAACAATAACTATGAAGAAAATTATATCTATATGAGTGTCCACACCAACAGACGACAATGTTGTATTAAGTGTGCTGCAGTTTTGTTGTCTGTCACTTTAAATGCTCGTGGTCTATAAAGAGCATTTTACTGAAGAACAGTTTGTGTAAATAACGTGTCCTTTGAAAAAATGTTGCCCTGTTATCTCCAGGTACCTTCCTGTTCTGCTGGACGCCATTCTTCGTAGTGCACACCATGAGGGCCCTCTGCGAAGACTGCTACATCCCCAGCAGTGTCACTAGCATCGTGACCTGGTTAGGCTACGTCAACAGTGCCCTCAACCCCGTCATCTACACAGTCTTCAACACAGAGTTCAGGAAGTTCTTCCGGAAGTTCCTGCCGACTCTGCCCAACTGCTGCTAGCCGGAACACACTCTCTGCTAACAGTTTACGAACAAAACATACCCAAAAGTATAAATAAACCAGACAAATAATGCTTACATGTAAATACAGCATGTTTTATGAAACAAAAATGAAAGTATGGTTATAATGTACTAAGATGTTTGCTGCCATTATGTTTTTACTTCATGGTTTAATTTCGTATGTTTACATTTTGAGAGCTGACATCAAACGGCCTCATTCATGAAAAGCAAGCAGAACGAATTTGCATAAAACGTTCATAAAATCATTCTTTTGTAAACTGTCATTTCATGAAATTCATACAGAACTAATTTGTGTAAATTAATCTTAAAATCATGTTTACACAGGCAGAATGAATTTTCGATTCAGTTTATTTTTTCTGTTAATTGTTCGTAAAACATTTTTACTTAAAGGGGTCATATGATGTTGCTAAAAAGAACATTATTTTGTGTATTTTGGTGTAATGAAATGTGTTTAAGGTTAAAAAAACACATTATTTTCCACATAGTGTACATGATTGTTTCTCCTCTATGCTTCGTCCACGGTGAAAGCCGATCCGGCGATCCACAGCACTAAGTTGATGTATTTCCTCAGCGACCAGCACGGATCAGCTCTAGGCATGACGAAGCGGATATCGTCCTCTTTTGGAAGACCAAACAAAGTAGTTTCGCTTTCACAACGAAACACACAGCATCTTCACGACATGGCGGCGGGAACAACAATACTATAGCGAGAATAAAAGTTACGCCTTCTTTCTTTGCGTGAACATTTGGGCGGCGTTATGCAAATCTTCCCACACAGTGACGTAGACATGTGGGGGCGTGTTAGAACGAGCCGTTTTAGGTAGGTGTGGCAGACTCTTAACTTTTATAAAGAATATCTCTTTGGATTTGAGACTTTAGTCTTTGCAACTTTACAGATCTTCTTTATGCACCAAGAGCTTGTAACACTCCAAAGAGAAAGGACAAATTTGAAATCGCATTATATGACCCCTTTAATACATGAACGTAATATCCATGTAAATAGTTCATAAAACTAGTGCTACATAAATTGTTACAATCATATAACACATGCATGTAATTCAAATGCATGTACTGTAAATTGTTTGTAAATAACACTCCAAAGAGAAAGGAAAATTTGAAATCGCATCATATGACCCCTTTAATACATGAACGTAATATCCATGTAAATAATTCATAAAACTAGTGCTACATAAATTGTTACAATCATATAACACATGCATGTAATTCAAATGCATGTACTGTAAATTGTTTGTAAAAATCATTCTTAGGTGGACTAGTAAGAACTTGTTTTTGAGGTGTTGTTATTGAATCAAAAATGGCTTTACGAACAATTTAAACATTTCATTCTGTTCGTGTTTCGTAAACGAGGCACAGTTTATGCTTTGAAGCTTCTATGACAGGTATGTCTGTAGAACGGTCTGCCATGACCTCTCTTTGCCATTACTGTTCTCATGTGATACGCGAAGGAGCTCGTCCAGCGGCCCATAAGCCGAGTCAAAGGCACTCATTTTGTATCTGATTGCACTGACTTTCATCTGAGAATGAAATGTTTTCCACAGACAAGAACTACTTTGCGCTGATGTCTAAAAGAACAGATAAAGACATTTAGGTCGTAGTATCAACGCCTTGTTTTAGTGAGCCCAAATATCTGTTAATATTATGTATTCACATAGCAAAAAACTTATTGGATGAAATGCCCAGAACTAAGAAGACTGTGACTGGGAGTTTTACTAAAGGAGAATGTCGAAAAAAAGAACAAAATAATGTCGCAAAGGTTATTAATTCTGATGCTGACCGTTTTAGAAACAGTAACTGAAGCGAATCGGCCAACCGCATCAAAGAATCTCAAATGTGAAGATCAAAACTGAATCAATGCAATCAAAAGTGGTGAATCTGCAAACAAAAACTGTTTCAGGACATTTTTGTGTGATTCTGAAGAACTTTACTTGTTTGAACGCTGAGGCAAATGTAGGTTAGATGTTCGTTGGTGATTTGTTTTCATGCCTTTCGTGCACAGTGTTCATTAAAAGCTGAAAGTGGAAGTGAGTGGTTTGATTTCAGTGAACATGGTGTTAGAATGTTAAAGCAATATTTTGAATTTGTTTACTGTGGCTTTTCTATGGATTTAAGTTATTGATTTCACTGCTGAGCCCACATTGTCAATGGAATGCTTGCTGCTTTTGATAAATTAAAAAAATATTTTTAAAAATACAACTGAGAGTTGATCATAGAATAGATCAACTGGAATAGATCAGCTTGAGGGGCCATCAATATACTGTATTACAATAAATACCGAGGGGACTGTGGAATTCTAAAAGGATTAGTTCACTCAAAAATGACGAGATTCCAAAATTTGTTTCTCCATCTGAACAGATTTGAAGAATTCAGCATTACATCATTTGCTCAGCAGTGGATCAGTGAATGGGTGCCGTCAGAATGAGAGTCCAAACAGCTGATAAAAACATCACAGTGATCCACAAGTAATGTACGTAATCTACAAGCTGCATGTTTGTAATAAATCCATCAACATGTTTTTAGCTTCAAACCTCTATCCAGTCCTCTATCCATAATATGTTGCTTACTTCAGTGAAAAAGTCTTCTCATCTGAATACTTACAAGCAAAAACAGTCCAAAATAGCTGAAAACAAATATGTTGGTGGATTTTGATGTGAGGCGACAACAGGGGATGGATTTTGTCAATGGGGGATTTATGGATTATGGATGTTATTATAGACTGTACACTGGTATTTCAGCCAGAAATGATAGTTAAAGCACCTTGATGATGGATTTGTTTCTTACAAACACACAACTTTTCTCTTCACATGATGTTAATTGTTGGACTGGAGTGGTGTGGATTACTTGTGGATTATTGTGATGTTTTTATCAGCTGTTTGGACTCTCATTCTGACGGCACCCATCCACTGCAGAGCATCCACTGGTGAGCAAGTGATGCAATGCTACATTTCTCCAAATCGGTTCTGATGAAGAAACAAACTCGTCTATGTATTGGATTGCCTGAGGGTGAGTACATCTTCAGCACATTTTCATTATTGGGCAAACTATTTCTTTATTAAGTTCGGGAACTTGCTTTGCAATGATTTGTATGGTGAAAAGCGCTGTAGAAAAAAAAAACTTGACTTGACTATTTAGCGCCCAAACTCTGGAATAACCTAC